ATTCCACCTCTAAAGCCTAATTACGCTCCTCAGGAAAGGACCAAATACATAGACAAATGTGCTACATCGAGGGATGATTATCTCTTGTATCGGGATGCCATGTCATACCTGATAACCAGGTCATAACTCTTCTCACTGACATACATAGTTCACTCCACATAGGGAGCGAACTTCTCAGGCCTTGCCTATACCACCCATCCCTAGCAACACACATACAGACAATAACATAGTTTGGTCCATCTGCTCAGTCACTAGTCCCCAGGGTGGCCTTCAGACACACTCAGAAACTCACCAACTCAAGGGACAGCCACCTGGGGAAGACTGGCAGGTTGATTTTATACATATGCCCCCATAAAGAGGGTCAAATACCTCCCAACCTTGGCAGATACTTTTACAGGATGGATAGAGGAACTTCCACGTATATCGGAAGGAGCAGTTGCTGCAGTTCAGTACTCTTAATGGCGCTCTTTGGTTTCCCATGCTCCATTCAGTTTGACAGTGGCCCTCCCTCTGTCTCTCAGATTACCCAACAGGTCACAGAGGCACTCAGCATACACTGGAAACTCCACATCCCTTATTGGCCACAATCATCGGGCAAGGTTGAATGTGTTAATGAGCTAATTAAGACTCAACTAACCAAACTCTCAATAGAACTAAAATAAAATTGGATTACCCTCCTCTTGGCTCTCATGTGGCTACACTCAACTCCCTGAAAACCATTAAACTTAACCCCGTTTGAGCTGATGTATGGGTGACCTTACCCAATCCCTCACCACCTCTTGCTGACTGTGTCCCAACACTTAGTTATGTTCATCGCCCCCTTCAGACTCTGGCAGATCAAACTCTCCCCTCCTCTGACTCATCACCCAGTGTATCTTAAGAACCTTTCTCCAAAACCTCTCCAGCCACACTGGGAGGGACCTTTTACTGTTTCCCTAACTATTCCTACAGCAGTAAAGCTTAAAGAAAAGGTACCATGGTTTTGTCTCTCAAGAATAAAAAGAGCATCTCCAGCTCTCTAGACAGATCAATTTAAACAACCTGAAACTTTCAGGTACTCTTCTGTACTCACAGGACCTACTATGCTCAAACTGTTCTACACCCTCCCACAGATTCCAGAAGATATCTCCTTAGGGGCTGTTTCTTGGCTACTTCTGGAATAATGTCTGAGAGACCCCTCTGCCTGCTGGCTTTAGGCCCACACTTCTTCTCCACCCTCTTCTCCATTTCTAATTCCACCAGTATGAAGCCTCATATATCGACTTTCCTATCAACCTGGTAACTGTCCATTCTGTGCTCCCAACATCACTTTCTGGGAAAAAGACACATGGGAACTTAAAGGTAAAACACTCTCATCTCTGTGCTGTCCATCCCACTGAGCCACTCCACTCCCAAATGACTGGTATACAAGAGATCTACTGCAGAGGCCCTGATATGACTGTCACGACCTGGCCCTGTTTTTCTGGTGATAGTCACCCCAACTTTCACTTCCATGTCTTGGTACAACTCTTCTGCCATCCCCACACATTCCCTCCAGATATCATCCATAAACCCTCAAGAACTGCCAAAAAAATCTTCAAACTCCATTAATAATTATATACATAATGTTCTGGAAGTACTGGCATTCCAGCACATTGCCCTGGAACACAGATTGTCTCTCCACTTCTTCCTAGCAAATGGTTCTCTGAAAAAAAAAAAAAAAAAGGCTAAAAACTTTATATGAGGATCTCCATAGTCTGCTTCCTGCTGAAGATCCTAAGAGACTTTTGCCCCAATCACTTCTAGTCTTGGCCCTGAAAACAATATTAAACCCACTAAAAAAGGAAGCCTTTTGACAATATACTGTTCTACTCTCTGGTCTCATTCAACCACCTGCACTATCATTACTCAAGGGAACAATGCACTTTCCCTTGTTGTTGTTCTGTCTCTTTTAAAAGTCACTCTGTAACTTACAATGCCTTCCTTCATCCGCATTTTAGTCTTGGTTTTCATCTCAGCTCCTAGGAAATATGGATGCACACTCTCCTACAACACCAGTTCCAGGCCTTCCTTGACTGTGTCCTTGAAGACATCACTCGGTTCCACCCACAGGAGGATACCCCTCAAGCAACTCTGTGGTAGATACAGGACCTCTGGTTTCAGGGAATGCTGACTGAATTTTCATGTTTTGAGATACGACGCTTTTCTTTTCTCCTTGTTTGCTGTCTATACTTACCCCTTCCCCACTCTGAGACACTCCTATCTGTTGAAAGCCTCACGGGATACTGTGACACCTTGAGCACAGGGGCACCCACTAATATCCTCAGCTTTCTCTTACTGTCTCTTTCCAGGCTCCTCTTTGGAATCAGACTCACCGCCACAACCCCACTGGGCTGGAAAACTTTTGATAAGTGTCTTTTAGCAACAACTTACTATTTTATCATCACACTTCTTGGGTGATATTCTGGGTTGCTTACATTAAAATGTACTCACCTCCTCACCTCTCATCTTTGCCTTCTCCCTGCTTTTAGGGATTTCCCTTTCCACCTCCCAAATTCCTTGTCCGGTACAATGCAAACAAGGTGGAAAGTTCTGGACAATGGATTGGAGTGGGGCCAGACTAATAGATTATGGTCCCTTAAAGTTTTGGTCCTACTCCTCCATGTGTTACTCCTGCTATAAAGGTGCCACCCTCTGCAGCTATGAGGGCCAAAAATATTGGACAGGTAAGATCATCCACACATCCATGGTCTCTAACAGCGGTTTTACAAAAAATTAAAAACCTGGTGAGATTGCCTGCTGGAGCTACTTGGCACCCATCAGTGTTAGTGATGGGGGAGTAGTCCAAAATACAGCTCTAAAGGAGGTTGTCAACAGACAGGCCAAAAGAGTGATAGAGCTCTTCAACCTACCAGCCCACCTCCCTTTAAAGGAATAGACATCCAGGTGGTTAACCAGATAACCCAATCCCAAAAAGATTACCACATCAATACCACTCTCCACTACCTCCCAGCTAAAGTTTTTGACTGCTGGATGGGTTTATCTGTGTACCCCCACTCATTCACCCCAATCCCATCCCCCTAGATGTTAACGTGTCAGTCCCTGATAAAAACAACCTCTCCACAGTTTTGGGACCCTTTGCTACAAGCCTCCCACTCCCCACCCAACTAACCAACTTGGCATGTACAGGAAATGATAAAACCTTACTCATTTTACTTGCTCCCGTTTTCTCTCTCAAGAATATCCAATTTGCCTGTCCAAAGGCCTGTACTTCATATGTAATCAAGAGGCATTCCAATACCTCAATCAGTCTGATGCTTTCTGCATATCCTTCCTTAGCCCTCCCATGATCTTTTTTGTTTGTTTGTTTGTTTTTTGTTTGTTTTTTTGGTACCAGGGATCGAACTCTGGGCTTTGTGCTTTCTGGGCTTTGTGCTTGCGAGGCAGGAGGCAGCACCACTGAGCTAATCCCCAGCCCCTCCCCATGATCATTTATATAGAAGCCCAGATGCCTAAACAAGTTCTCCAACAGAACACAATCAGAAAAAGGGCAGCTCCCCTTCTAGTCCCCTTCTTAATGGGTCCGGGGGTTCTCACTACTGGGATGGCAAAAGGGATAGTGGGCATTTCTATGTCCACACATTTCTATCAGGCCCCGTCCATAGAGATTTCAGAAGACATGGATAAAATAAGCCAGTCCTTAAATACGGTACAAGATCAAATAAATTCTCCAGCAGCAGTCATGTTACAAAATAGAGGGCCCCTTGTGCTCGCTTTGGCAGCACATACACAAAACAGAGGGGCCCTTGACATGCTGACAGTGGCCCAAGGGAGAACACACCAGGTGCCAGGTGAAGAATGCTGTTATTTTGTTAACCAGTCAGAGATTGTTAAAACAAAGATTAAAGAATTACAGCAGCGCATAGAAGAGCGAAAAAGACGATAGAATTCTTGGGGATTAGACCAGAGCTATTTCTGGCTTCCCCAAATTATGCCTTGGCTACTTCCCTTGCCAGGCCCACTGGTTTGTATATGCCTTTTAATCATGATAGGGCCCTGTCTTGTTTCGCTGTTTTCAAAATTTCTTGCAGGAATGCATAAGGACATTTACCAACCAGACGGTCACGGAACTCGTCATGGCAAGGTATCCGCCGCTTTGGCAGAAAAAAGAAGCCCCACCTACCGCTGCCGCTGCCCCCACCAGATCCAGGTTTAACCCCAACCTTCGTCCCTTTGTCAATTTGAAGCAGCTCCAGAAGAGACTTTCACCCAATAACCATAAAACAAAACCTTATAATGTTAGATTTCCCTTGCCTTAAGATGGCTGCCACAGGGAATAGCAGCCTCTATGTTAAAATATGGCGTCTCCCAACAATGCACAGGCTTCTTCTTCCCATCATGCCTCTTCTCCCGCCAAAAGAGTAACCTGATACTCGCTACCGCCTAGCAGCTGGTGATGTCATAAGCCCCGCCTAGTGATGTCACAGGCTCCTCCAATCTCTTAATACTACCTCACTCAACTCCACCCCAGCTCAGGCTAATCCCACCCCGCTCCTATAAAAGAAGCTCCCTGTTCTGACATGTTGCTTTTTCCTCCTTTGTTCAGAGACCTTCTGCTAGATCCTCCTCATAATAAAGGCATGTTATGGTTCTGGTCAGCTCTTTTTACCTAACAATTCCAGCTTTTCCTCAGACATGCCAAAGATTTTGATCTCCAAAACAACCCAGTTGATGCAGGCTTGCTTTTTAGTGTAGGAAACATTCAAAAAGGTTTAAAAACTTGCCCAGACTCATGTAGTTAAGTTGCAAAATAAACTGGGATTTAAACCCAGGCCACTCCTGACTCCATGGCTTCTGATACTTTTATAAAGCAAAACAACTTCACTGGGAAGGCTAAGGTCTTAGATTGCAAGTGCAAATCCAGATCCACAGGGCAGAACACAACCTACACCCCTCATTTCTGAGTTCAAGTAACTCTTAGCCGCTCCTTCCCTAGCTACCCTCCCAAGAAAAATGACTACCTTTTAAAAGTATGTCTGGAGAGAGCAATCCCGGCGCTGCCCGGAGGCGGTGGCCTGGCGTGGGTCCCAGGGTTGAACATCGCCTTGCGCTGCCTGCGGGAGTAGCCAGGCCCGAGGTCGCAGAGGCGCTGGCATTGTCCCGGAGCTGGCAGCCTAGCCCTGCGCGAGAGGGCGGCCGGGTCTGCGCTGGTGGACTGGAAGGCTAGTAAACGAGGCCGGCTTGCCCGGGACAAAGGGAGTCTGGGGCTGAGAAGGAGCCCGAGGGTTCAGAGTCTAGTGCTCTTTTCCGCCACGGCCCCCCTGACCAGCGCGTCGGCCGCGGCACTCTCCTCAAACAGCCCACCCGGCCGTGGAGGGCGCGCTGGCGTC